GGGGGGGGGGGGTGGGGGGGGGGGGGGGGGGGGGGGGGGGGGGGGGGGGGGGGGGGGGGGGGGGGGGGGGCTGGGGGTGGCAGACAGGGAATCGGGGGCTTGGCCGTGGGAATGGGAAAGAGGAAACATTGATGAAAGCAGAATGGAGGTGCCGCAGTGGTGGGTTGTGTTTTCTCCTCAGCTCGAGGGAGCTCCACCCCGGACCCCGCCTTCCGGAACCCCCAACCTACGCTCCATGCTTAGGGCCCCCAAACTCCTAAGAACGGCTCTGATAGAAAATTAACATAGCCGGCACATGAACGGCCATACAACACAACAACAACACAGCCGGTACATGAAGGGCCGTACAAAAGAACAACAACATAGCCGGCACATGAATGGCCACACAACACAACAGCTACACAGCCGGTACATGAAGGGCCGTACAACAGAACAACAACAACATAGCCGGTACATGAAGGGCCGTACAACAGAACAACAACAACATAGCCGGCACGTGAAGGGCCGTACAACAGAACAACAACAACATAGCTGGGACATGAATGGCCGTACAACAGAACAACAACAACATAGCCGGTCCATGAACGGCCGTACAACAATATGCCCCCAATGTTTTTGTCAATCCTCATTTTTTCAGGGGTAAAGTGATGCTCTTTTGTTCAATTCAACAAAAAAATATGGAAACAATTTAACTATAAAATTATGTCACAATAGCACCCCTATCAAAAGTCGACTTCTCCCCACTCTCTGGACGGGACGATCTAGGGCCCAAGTATTTCATAGCGTGTCTAGTCCATCAGTATGACATATTCAAGTAAACAGATGACTACCACGGGTGTGCAATTCAACGTGGCTCCGTGCAACACAATTTTAACGGAAGTCTGTTGTTGTTTTCATGTGATCGCAAAGTGAGGTAAGTTATGTTGCGTGTTTGTAACACAACACCGGCCAAATGGCATAGTGAAATATTTCACTTCACTCTTGACTCATGGTTCTCTGGACACCAATCGAAGTGATTGCATGGACACCATCTAAGAGATTGCATCTACACCAATCTAAGAGATTGCATATACACCAATCTAAGTTATTGCATGCACACCAGTCTAAGAGATGGCATGGACACCAATCTACGTGACAGCACGGACACCAATCTAAGTGAAAGATATTAAGTTGTTTAACAATAAGAATAAATAAAGACAGTGAAGATGATTCATTTCCATTTATTGATTTTATGAAATGTGAGCCATTAGTGCGTTTTTTTCTCTGTGGACCATCAAAACTCTGGCTTTCAGTTTGTCCGTGATAAGTCCATACTCAGGTGTGCATTGAAAGCTTTAGTCAAAACATTAAAATTTACAAAAGCTTTGTGAGGCATGATCAGATTTATATATCTATGTATATATATATATATATTTGCAGTAGAATGATTCTATCTTATGTTACTAATGCATTAGTGTTTACATTTTTTTCCTCCAACGACATCTCGAAGGCCAATCTTTCTTGTACAATATACACGTTGATCTCTTTCCTATCACAAAAGATAGGACAAGCATTGATACCTCTGTAGCCTCTTTGTAAACCAGGGAGGGGGGGGGTGGGGGAGGAGGGTATATTTTTAATTCGACACAACCGTATCCGGAAATTTGATCGAAAGCAATTTCGTCGGCGGGAAATTGATCAACGGGTAATTTGATCGAGCGGAAATTTGGTCGAATCTTTTTTTTCTTTTTTTTTTTTTTTTTTTTTTTCAGTTTTTTACTTTAAAGTTTTTTATCAATTTTTTTTTGAAAGCATTATTTTGTTTTGCTTTATAGTACAGTTCGACCAAAAAGAAATTTGACAAAAATATGAACGTTTAAACTGAAAAAAAATTTGACCAAATTTCCGTTCGATCAAATTTACCGTCGACCAAATTTCTTTTGATCAAATTTNGGAAATTGATCAACGGGTAATTTGATCGAGCGGAAATTTGGTCGAATCTTTTTTTTCTTTTTTTTTTTTTTTTCTTTTTTCAGTTTTTTACGTTAAAGTTTTGTATCAAATTCTTTTTGAAAGCATTATTTTGGTTTACTGTGCAGTGCGTTCATAAAAAAAATTTGACGAAAGTTTTAACGCGTGGGTCCCCCAGAGGTCAAAGAATGTTTGTGGTGGCTTTTAGCGTGTTTTATTCAAACCCACCTCTGTCAGCTAGTGTATCCTCTGCCCCGTGTGCTGGCGCTCAGCTCTGTTGCTACCCACACCCACTGAGATCAAACCATTTGAACGTCTTGTACCGCACCCACCGAGATCAAACCATTTGAACGTCTTGTCCTGCACCCACTGAGATCTAACAATTTTAACGACTTGTCCCTCACCCACCGAGATCAAACCAATTGCACGTCTTGTCCTGCACCCACTGAGATCAAACCATTTGAACGTCTTGTACCGCACCCACCGAGATCAAACCATTTGAACGTCTTGTCCTGCACCCACTGAGATCAAACCATTTGAATGTCTTGTCCTGCACCCACTGAGATCAAACCATTTGAACGTCTTGTCCTGCACCCACCGAGATCAAACCATTTGAACGTCTTGTCATGCACCCACTGAGATCAAACCATTTGAACGTGTTGTCCTGCACCCACTGAGATCTAACCATTTGAACGTCTTGTCCTGCACCCACCGAGATCAAACCATTTGAACGTCTTGTCCTGCACCCACCGAGATCAAACCATTTGAACGTCTTGTCCTGCACCCACTGAGATCAAACTATTTGAACGTCTTGTCCTGCACCCACTGAGATCAAACCATTTTAACGTCTTTTCCTGCACCCACCGAGATCAAACCATTTGAACGTCTTGTCCTGCACCCATCGAGATCAAACCATTTGAACGTCTTGTCCTGCACCCACCGAGATCAAACCATTTGAACGTCTTGTCCTGCACCCACCGAGATCAAACCATTTGAACGTCTTGTACCGCACCCACCGAGATCAAACCATTTGAACGTCTTGTCCTGCACCCACTGAGATCAAACCATTTAAACGTCTTGTCCTGCACCCACTGAGATCTAACCATTTGAACGTCTTGTACCGCACCCACTGAAGTCCTGCACCCAGCGCGATCAAACCATTTGAACGTCTTGTCCTGCACCCACCGAGATCAAACCATTTGAACGTCTTGTCCTGCACCCACCGAGATCAAACCATTTGAACGTCTTGTCCCGCACCCACCGAGATCAAACCATTTGAACGTCTTGTCCTGCACCCACCGAGATCAAACCATTTAAACGTCTTGTCCTGCACCCACTTAGATCTAACCATTTGAACGTCTTGTACCGCACCCACTGAGATCAAACCATTTGAACGTCTTGTACCGCACCCACCGAGATCAAACCATTTGAACGTCTTGTCCTGCACCCACTGAGATCTAACCATTTGAACGTCTTGTTCTGCACCCACTGAGATCAAACCATTTGAACGTCTTGTCCTGCACCCACTGAGATCTAACCATGTGAACGTCTTGTACCGCACCCACTGAGATCAAACCATTTGAACGTCTTGTACCGCACCCACTGAGATCTAACTATTTGAACGTCTTGTCCTGCACCCACTGAGATCTAACCATTTGAACGTCTTGTCCTGCACCCACTGAGATCTAACCATTTGAACGTCTTGTCCTGCACCCACCGAGATCAAACCATTTAAACGTCTTTCCTGCACCCACTGAGATCTAACCATTTGAACGTCTTGTACCGCACCCACCGAGATCAAACCATTTGAACGTCTTGTCCTGCACCTACTGAGATCTAACCATTTAAACGTCTTGTCCTGCACCCACTGAGATCTAACCATTTAAACGTCTTGTCCTGCACCCACTGAGATCAAACCATTTAAACGTCTTGTCCTGCACCCACTGAGATCAAACCATTTGAACGTCTTGTCCTGCACCTACTGAGATCTAACCATTTAAACGTCTTGTCCTGCACCCACTGAGATCTAACCATTTGAACGTCTTGTCCTGCACCCACTGAGATCAAACCATTTAAACGTCTTGTCCTGCACCCACTGAGATCTAACCATTTGAACGTCTTGTCCTGCACCCACTGAGATCTAACCATTTGAACGTCTTGTCCTGCACCCACTGAGATCAAACTATTTGAACGTCATTGTCCACAACGATCCTAAGAAATCATTCAATAGTGTTTGAAGGTGCCGGTAAGATTATTTTGTTTGTAAACTGAACTCCTGTTTTCTACATTTGTTTATTTTTGTATTTTTAATCTTAAGGAAGAGACTTATAAATCACTCCTAACATCCAATCCAACATTGTTTCGGGTTCATGAATGTTTAAATATTTTTAGTTTTTCAATTGATGTTCGTCGTGGTTTTTTTCGATTATCTGAACATGATTTGAGGCTACTACGATGGTTTAACTGAATGCTACAGAGATTAGATTGTTGGTTCGGTTTCATTATAGGTGCTGAATGTTGACTCCACTTGCTGTCATCAGTCCGACTGTGCTTGAAGAGAATGGTGCGGAGTGCTAAGGAGCCCACGATTGAGTCACAGAAGGTGGAGCTCAAGAGAGAGCTGGGATTGGTCGGAGCTTCCTCTGTGGTCATTGGAACGATTATAGGTAGCCTTTAGAAGACACACTTCGTTAGACAGTTTTGTATTCAAAATTGTAAATGTCAGAATATAAACAAGGGAACTGTAGCAATAGTGAGAATGTGAATCTTTCATCGGAGATACTAAACATTTAAGAAGCCTATAACATTGGGAATGTTAGATTGCAATATTTCAATCAATAGCCTATTAAATAAGTTACTAATCATTCCATTTTTTGTTTATAGTTTGTTTAGTTATTTTTTTGTTTATAGTTTGTTTAGTTATTTTTTTGTTGATAGTTTGTTTAGTTATTTTTTTGTTTATAGTTTGTTTAGTTATTTTTTTGTTTATAGTTTGTTTAGTTATTTTTTTGTTTATAGTTTGTTTAGTTATTTTTTTGTTTATAGTTTGTTTAGTTATTTTTTTGTTTATAGTTTGTTTAGTTATTTTTTTGTTTATAGTTTGTTTAGTTATTTTTTTGTTTATAGTTTGTTTAGTTATTTTTTTGTTCATAGTTTGTTTAGTTATTTTTTTGTTTATAGTTTGTTTAGTTATTTGTTTGTTTATAGTTTGTTTACTTATTTTTTTGTTTATAGTTTGTTTAGTTATTTTTTTGTTTATAGTTTGTTTAGTTATTTTTTTGTTTTATTTGTTTTCTTGCTGATTTTTTTTTATATTGATACAACAATCCATGATAAAATTTACCTTGTCACGAATACGGCTGTCACCTTCTCAACAGGTTCCGGTATATTTATCTCCCCTAAGGGCGTGCTAGAGAACACGGGATCTGTGGCACTCAGTCTTATTGTTTGGTTTCTATCAGGAGTTATCTCTCTCGGAAGTAAGATTTAATACGTATTTATAAAGGAAAGATGTAAATAAAGAGTTTTTACAATTAATAAAGCGAATAAAACCCCAAAAAATAAAGAACCGGATTAAATTGATTAAATCCGTTCCTTTTCCACAGAACTGAATTAGCTGCGAGATTAATACATATTTATGGGGGGGGGGTGTGGCATGTGTGAGTTCCCACAATTTATTTCTTAGAGCTTTGCCCCACTGAGTAAATAAATAAATAAAGTATGTAATCCTATTGTTAAGATGTAATTCTTGAAGAGAGGTCCTAAAAGGACGTACGGGTATCTAGAAATTTGACTCATACATATGCCACCCTGTCCCCTTCCCTCCCCCCCCCCCTCGCCACCCATGGGGAACACTTTACCTTTTTTTTTACACATTTGTTCTGTGCTTCACGAAATGTTTTCTCAGGTGCCCTGTGTTACGCTGAACTAGCGACGACCATTGGTAAATCAGGGGGCACTTACACCTATCTCCAGATGGGTGTGGGCAATTTCTTGGCATTCGTGTATGCCTTTCAGGTATGTTCTCATTCTCGTATGCCATTCAGGTATTCTCTCATTCTTCTACGTCATTAAATTATTCTCTCTTTCGTGTATATCATTCAGAAATACTCTCATTCATGTACGTCATTCAGGCATTCTCTCTTTCGTGTACGTCATTCAGGCATTCTCTCTTTCGTGTACAGGATGGGCCAATAAAAGTGAGAACATCTCGTAGCGTAATATTTTACGAGATGTTCTCACTTTTATTGGCCCACCATGTACATCATTCAGGTATTCTCTCATTCTTGTATGTCATTCAGGTATTCTCTTATTCGTGTATGTCTTTCAGGTATTCTCTCATTCTCGTAAAATAATAGTACATGTAATTGTCTAATTCTTGTATGTCGTGCATTTATTGTCTTCAAAGTTATTGTCTTTAGCTATTGTTTTATTTTTTTATATCGTCTTAACCTACTTTCTTAAATGTGTTGATTTATCATCAGAGAAGCGGACACTCTTGGACGTGTCATAGTTATAAGTGAAGTATTAATAGTTATATAATTAGCAGTGAAAACTCTGTATTTTAGAGATAAAGAAGCCAAAATTAATTTAACTCAACCTAATTTTTTTTTTACCAGAACATAAGAATATAATGTAATACTTGAGTACATCAGAGAATATCACCCTTGCCGTCGTGTTCGCCAGATGCTAACAAATTTGTTGCACTGTTATTTCAGACGATTTTTATCATCATTCCCGGTGTGGTCATCATCACCTTGTTGACCTTCGCCAAGTACCTCGTCTCCCTGCTACCTCTGTGCGGCTCACCTGCTTACCTGGAGAAGTTCATTGTTGCCTTGGTTGCGGGTCAGTTTTGAATAGTCCACACACAAAAATCTTAACATGATTAGCTGGTTCCTTTAAAATTGCTTAAATTATTTGTAGATTTCTTGAAGATTATAAAAATTAAGAAAAGTATTTTTTAAAAAAAGAGTGGTAGAAAGGAGGACAGTAGAGATGGGAATCGAACCCTCATATAGAAGTTTGTTTCGGGGTCCGGTCGTCAACAGGGTTTGGTTCGGTTTGGTTCGGTTTGGTTCGGTTTGGTTCGGTTTGGTTCCGGTTTGGTTCAGTTTGGTTCGGTTTGGTTTGGTTCGGTTTGGTTCGGTTTGGTTCGGTTTGGTAGCCAAACCAAGCCAAGCCAAACCAAGCCAAACCAAGCCAAGCCAAACCTTCGGTTTGGTTCTTTGGTTCGGTTTGGTTCGGTTTGGTTCGGTTTGGTTCGGTTTGGTTCGGTTTGGTTCTTTGGTTCTTTGGTTCGGTTTGGTTCGGTTTGGTTCGGTTTGGTTCGGTTTGGTTCAGTGAGTTACATTTGGGTTCCTATGATAATCATCCCTTGTAAACAGAGATTTTAGAATGTAATCGGGAAGGGGGAAAAGCAGGGCCGGCGCTAGGAGGGTGCGGGGGCCTTAAGCAAATTGAATTTTGCGGGGCCGTAGATGTTATATATTCCGCCGATAGGATATCAAGACACGTGTTAGTTGTACTGGGGCCTTGCTGGTCATAATGGGACGCGTCATAACGGATATTTGTTCAGTCGCTTAGTTTCTGAAATTTCCAAATTTTCCTATAACAGGTAATTACCTTAGCGCAAATTACCCATCGCGGCTCCATTGTTACCAATGCCAAGGTTGTCAAAAACAAATAACGAAAACACGAAGCTGAATGAGTTGACTATCTAATAACTCCGAATAGGGTGTTGACTGGATTAGGAACTATTAGTAGGCTTAGGTATTATAAATATACTACGGCAACGCGCGGGGCCCCCACTTTAGAACCCCCTAGCACCGGGCCTTGGGAAAAGGGTGAGGTGGGAAGAGAGATTTATTTTTTTTAAATGTCATTGATCCCTTGAACTAGCTTACTCATTATTTGACATGATTACTTGATGCATTTCATTATTTTAACCTGTCCCCTCAACTCCCCAGTGAGTATTGTTGTACTCAACTGCTACAGCACGCGGCTGACGGCCAGGTTCACCATCCTGACGACTTTTGGCAAGTTATCTGCTCTTGTGGCGATCATTATTGGAGGAATTATCGCCCTTTCCCAAGGGACGACCAGTGAGCTGGGCACAGGGTTTAAGGGGACCTCCAACGATCCTTCGTCCTTGGCCTTGGCTCTCTACAGTGCACAGTGGGCCACCAGTGGGGGGTGAGTTTGGGCCTTTTTAAGAGCACTGGCTGATTCTGACCAATTATTGTTCTTTGTTGTCTTAAATTGCAAACAAATGAAAAATTGATGGGAAGTTTTAAGCCGTTGATATCGTTCAACCAATGAAAAACTTTACCTTAAATGTTATTTATTAATAGTCATTTAAACGGGGAAAACCCAGTTATTTTAATTAGGTGAAATCGTTTCAAAATTGACACCGGGTTGAATTTATTTTTCTTTCTTTTTGTATGGTATTTTATTATTATTATTTTTTTCCAAAAAATAAAATTTCAATAATGTTTATAATGTTTTCAATATCTGACAGTGAGAATCTAGCGATATTAGTCGAAGAAGTCAAAAACCCCCAAAAGTAAGTACAGAAACAGATTGTGGTAATTAAAAAACAAATAAGAAAAAAATGAAGAAAAATATAATAATAATAACATATTTTAACACATAGTATTTTAAACTGATTGTATTATTGTATATAAGACTATATAACAGAAGTACTTTCTTCTTTTGACATGTTAAAGAGTCCTCCATTAGCGAAACAATTATGCATGCGCCACAGCACACACGTTTCAGTGTGAATATTGACAGGATTTTAACATTCTAAAAATTGTTGTCCATCGTTAAATAATAAAATGTGAGAATGAGCAACAACAACAAAAAATGTAAGTTTCAATGTTTTCCTTTCAGGACCATTCCCAGGTCTTTCATTCTTGGACTGGTCATCGTCATTATAGTCTACCTCCTGGCCAACATTTCTTACCTGGCTGTCTTGACCAAGGATGAGATGCTCAGTTCTGAAGCTGTTGCTGTTGTGGGTGATAGTTAAAAAAATTTTAAAAGTTGAGAATATAGGTGGTTTTTTTTTTTTTTTGTTTTTTTTTGTACCAGGGGATATTTTAAATTAACCTTTATTCCGAGGCTACACCTCATCAGTAAACTGTAACCTTTCTTCCTATACTTATATCATCTTTACTGTTATAAGTTGTTACCCAGGTCTTTCATTCTTGGACTGGTCATCGTCATTATAGTCTACCTCCTGGCCAACATTTCTTACCTGGCTGTCTTGACCAAGGATGAGATGCTCAGTTTTGAAGCTGTTGCTGTTGTGGGTGATAGTTAAAAAAATTTTAAAAGTTGAGAATATAGGTGGTTTTTTTTTTTTTTGTTTTTTTTTGTACCAGGGGATATTTTAAATTAACCTTTATTCCGAGGCTACACCTCATCAGTAAACTGTAACCTTTCTTCCTATACTGATATCATCGTTACTGTTATAAGTTGTTATGACCAGAGCGGATTCTTCAATGAATATCAGTTTGGGAGTTAACTGCTAGTTATTTCAATGAAATCTTTATTCATGTACTGATATCATTGTTACTTTTATCATCTGTTATGACCAGGGCGGATACCTCATCACTTAACTACTAATTATTTCTCACCACTGTGATAATACGAAGTTCAAGAACTCACATATCAATTATTTATTTATATATAACAAAACACAGAATAAGGTTCACATCCCATGAATGAGGAAATGATGAATGAATACAGTTCAGTCATAACACATCCATTTCTTTTAGAAAATAACCAAATGTTCCGAACTGCTTTTTTCATTCAAAGAAATATTTCTGCTTTTGTAGTTCCTCCTTATCTATCTATATTTATATGTATGTATCAATACCCTGACACGAAATAGTGCTTTTTCACTCAAATGCAAAAAGGATATTGATTTTATGGAAGGGTGAGGGGTGTCTAATTGATATTGATTTGATGGGATGATGCGGGTGTCAAGTTGATGCTAGTTTGATGGGGTTTTTGTTGTTTGTTGTTGTTTTTTTTAATGTTTTTTTTTTTTTAATTTGTCTATTTTTTCGGTCCTAAACAACTATCAATGAACCTAGTCTTTTAAAAAACATACTAGACAGCTCAGTTGCTGAATTAAGCTCAATACTTAAATTTGATTTACATTTAATCACACAGACATTTGCGGATAAAGCTCTGGGCAAACTCGCCATCATCATCCCAGTGGCTGTCATGGTGTCCACGGTTGGAGCTGTCAATAACACGGTGTTCAGTGGAAGTAGGTCGGTAAACGTATGCGGTGTTCAGTGGAAGTAGGTCGGTTAACGTATGCAGTGTTCAGTGGAAGTAGGTCGGTAAACGTTTGCTGTGTTCAGTGGAAGTGGGTCAGTAAACGTAATGCAGTGTTCAGTGGAAGTAGGTCAGTAAACCCATGCAGTGTTCAGTGGAAGTAGGTCAGTAAGCGTATGCAGTGTTCGGTGGAGGTAGGTCAATAAGCGTACGCAGTGTCCAGTGGAAGTGGGTCATTAAGTGTATGTCTCAACGGACAAGTGTGTCTAATGCACTACGTCTGTACACCAAAGGAAAGTGACGAGAATTTGCTTCAGACCCTTTGAGTCTTCTGGTTGTAGAGCTAAAATTGGAAGTGAAATATTTTACAAGAAAATCTTACAAGACGGTTAACCTTCGAGTAATGAACTAGAACACGGAGCCTTTCAGGTCATTAAATATTTTTAAGAAAAGAAGAAGAAAAATAGATTATTTATAAATTCTTTTAGAAACAGGACATCTAACAAAACGAACACATTCTTGACCAGAATCACGTATTCGGCGGCAAGGGACGGGATCTTGCCAGATTTCCTCAACTACATCCAAGTGCGCCAATACACGCCGCTGGGGGCTATGATATTAACGGTAAACAGTTTAAATCGAAAATTTACGATCATACTTTACACATTGAAATAAAATTTAATGTAGATTAAATTGTTAAAATTTTACATCCAAAGCGCACAAAAATAAAAATATTTCATTTTTCATGTGTCTAAAATGTGGAATGTTAGTTTGATCAACATACAGTGAAATCGATTAGTTGCTGAAAACCAAAAAAAATGTGTGTAAATAAAACAATATAGGTTAAGCTTTAGTTATGGTTGCATAGAATACAAATTCAAACGTTTTGGCAAATCCCTTCATCAGTACAACAAAAAACATTCATGAATGAAAAAATTTAATTTATATATAAATCCTTTCTATTTCTATACCCGGTACCTAAAAAGGGAAAGAATAAATGGGCACAAGTCCCTAACAAAAACAAAGCTCAGAAGAGCGGCAGCAAAATGAACTCTGAATCAATTAGCACAGAAAGAGCGGCAAATTAACCAAAATTATTATCCTTAAAGGGGAAAGAAGTCATCTCCTCGGTCCCATGTAAAACATTAGTGTCTCCCTTCTGTTAAAATTGCTCAAATTCATGAATTCTTTCCATTCTTATTTCTAACAAAGTCCGATACTAAAACCAATGTTTCTTTGTTCTGGCAGGTTGTCATGACTATGATTCTGTTGGCCCCAGCAAACTTGGGGACCGTCATAAATTATCTCGGTTTTGTCGAAGCCTTCTTCAACTTCTGTGTTTATATTGCATTCTTCCGCTTTCGATTTCAGACGATGAAAGACGTGGAAAGGACGATAAAGGTAACATGCAACTATGTCAGTAATATCAGTAATATCTTAAGCAGTTCACGAAATAAAAAATTGTTTAAAAATTAACAACTAACTAAAAATTTCTCTAAAGAACACAATTCTTAACTAATAAATTTATAAAAGCGAAATCTTCTGTCAGAATACATCTAACAGAAAATTAAATACCAATGTCATTTCAGCTTATATATGATGAGATAATATATATATATATATAAACTGTGTGACGTCACATAGGATCTTTACCCCTCCCCCACCCCCCACCCCCCACCCTCGTCAAAAGCTGTCATACTTTCTTAGACACCTCCTCCTTCTCCCGAGAGTGACGTACTTTACAAAAGGTCCCTTAATTAATTTAACAATTACTGTAGCTCTTGTCAAGACATTTTAGTTTTTAAAGGAAATTTAATAAATATGATCAGTGCTATTTAACATTCGATACAGATATATTTCATATAGCTTAAATATTTATGAATATAATTTTCAAAAACTTAAATGTAATTGTGATGTTACAAGCATCTCGTGTGTAAAGAAATTTAATAAATAATTCAGGTAAGTCATTTTGAAGGGGACGCAACTGCATACTCTAAAAATGTCACGTTATTCAAAAGGCTTTGTCCCTTGCTAAACATTAATTTATTACCAGCAAGTGGGATTTGGTTGTTGCGTTCACGACTATTCCGTGTGCTCATTAACCACTGAAACTTAAATCATACCTCTAAGTAGGAGACTTTTCAAAAACATGCAATTGTGTGTTATTAATTTATTCCCTACCTATAATTATTAGCTTCTTTATTCATTTTTTTTTAATAATAGGAGAAGTAAGTATTTGAGTGCTGCACTTTATAGACGTGTATTCCGTAGTCACCATTCCCTGCCTCCACAATACCAATTTATCAACAAAAATACTAATTTACTCTCACAATACTAGTTTACAAACAAAAATGCCAGTTTACTATCACAATATCAATTTATCAGCAAAAATACTAATTTACTCTCACAATACTAGTTTACAAACAAAAATGCCAGTTTACTATCACAATATCAATTTATCAGCAAAAATACCAATTACTCTACAATATCAGTTTACCAACAAAAAAATTCCTGTTTACTCTCACAATACCAGTTTACTCCCACAATACCCTTTTACTCCCACAATACCAGTTTACTCCCACAATATCATTTTACCAATTTTAAAAAAAATTTGCCAATAGAAAAAGAGCTTAACAACAAAAAGACGAGTTTGCTCCTACAGTACCAGTTTACTCCCAAAATACCAGTTGACTCCCAAAATACCAGTTGACTCCCAAAATACCAGTTTACTCGCAAAATACCAGTTTACCACCAGTTTTATCAATGTTGTCATTCCTCTCAGGTTCCGCTGATCATCCCCGTCTTCATGCTACTAGTCAATCTCTACCTGTTTGTTGCCCCGCTGGTGATCAGCCCACAGTTGGAGTACGCCTATGTGGTGGCCGCCGTGCTCGGCTCATCTGTTCTACTTTATATACCATTTATTCACTTCAAACTTTCACTGCCTTACACTGGTGAGTAGGCATCATTTTATAAATGTATATATTCAGTATCATATTCAGATGAGGCCCTGCCAATCCATCTCTTCCCAACTTCTTATGGCAAAGACTCACTCTGACATTAGAAAGTTCTGAATAACTTTGAGCCAGGCTAGTGGAGGAATCTAGACCAAATCATGATAATTCTGGGTTCTACCTATGTATAATTTATATAGGTCTTCCTATACAAATATATAACTTAAACTATTTTAACAATTAATACCTTAGTGACTTACACAGGTTAAGACAATCCCCAAGACAATCCTCAAGACAATCCTCAAGACAATCCTCAAGACAATCCTCAAGACAATCCTCAAGACAATCTTCAAGACAATCCTCAAGACAATCCTCAAGACAATCATCAAGACAATCCTCAAGACAATCCTCAAGACAATCCCCAAGACAATCCCCAAGACAATCCTCAAGACAATCCTCAAGACAATCCTCAAGACAATCCTCAAGACAATCCTCAAGACAATCCTCAAGACAATCCTCAAGACAATCCCCAAGACAATCGGAAAACACATATTTATAAAGGAGCAACGAAACTAATTTTATGGCTGAGGGTCACAATCATGGCGCCCGCAGGTGGGGGGGAAGGGGTGCACTTGCACCCCCCTGGATTGATTGGATAAAAATTTTTTAGACAAAAAATTTATTAAAGTAAAGAGAAAAATAAAGAGAAAGTAACTAAGCTGATGTCCTGTCCGTTCGTTCACCATAAAAATACGCTACAGTAAATTAAAACTACATCAAAACATTACTAAAAATTTGTCCCCCCCCCCTGGAAAGTTAATCGATTTTTTTGCCCCCCCCCCTCTAGAAAGTTTTCTGCGGGCGCCCATGGTCACAATAACATGTGGAACTAAATAAAAATACGCTCCAGTAAAATAAAAATACATCAAAACATTACTTAAAATTTGTCCCCCCCCCCTGGAAAGTTAATCGATTTTTTTGCCCCCCCCCCCTCTAGAAAGTTTTCTGCGGGCGCCCATGGTCACAATAACATGTGGAACTATATTACAAGGGTCGTGGCATTAGGAAGGTTGAGAATCACTGCCTTAGTCCAAAATAAAATCATGTAATTTTTTATTTTTTTTATTTAAAATTCTAATTTGTTTTCTTTTTCTCCTAAAATATCTAATTTCTTTTCAATCATTTCCTATTGTAGTAAAAATGGATCTGTTATTCAAATAAGGAATGAATAACTTTATGAATAAAGTAAATCTAAAACATAAAAATTAAATAAACAATTAAGGAGAGTGCATTGTTTCCATGTTTGAAAAGACTTAAAAAATACCACTCTAAAATAATCTGTCAAAAGTAAATGTCGTTATATAATCAGTGTGGATTATATGAATTATTTAATAAGTTATATTAGACAATAAGTTTAATTGGTACTTTTACTGTACAGTTTCTGTTTGTACTCCTGACAATTGTATGATCCTTAAGTAGAGCTCCAAAGGCTGTTTTTATCATGTCATTTTTTTAAATATCCGTGTTTAACTTCCTTAATTATTTATAACATAATAAACATAATTTTTTAACTTCCTTAATTAACTATAACATACTAAACATAATTTTTTTAACTTCCTTAATTAATTATAACATGCTAAACATATTTTTTTTTCACAATTTTTTTGTTTGTTTCTTATTCATAATTTTTTAGTCAAATTATTCCAGATCACCTGGTCGCATGGTTTCAGATGCTATTTCAAGTGTGTCCACCAACAAAATCTGAAGCAGAATAAAAAAAAATGTATAAGTTTACATACACACAAAAATCATTTTCAATAAATTGCTGAGATATTATTTGTTTGCCTTTTTAAATGTGTACAATTGCAGGCATTTATGGAGACAGTCTAACCTTTTGAAAAGCTCTGCTTATCAAATAACGTTTAACGGTCCTTTTTTTATTTAGTTATGATGAGATGTGAGCCAAATTGATTGTAATATCATAAGTCACCGTTAAAGTTAAACTGTTTTGTTGGGTCCTGGGTCAACTAAAAAAGATAATGTTACCATAGAGTCAGTTTAAAAGTGTCAAAGTTTTCAAACCAGTTTTGACGCAATGCACCAAGTTTTATATCTCTAAAAAATTGGAAGGCTGAAATTTATCACCAAACCATCAGAAAAACTGCTGAATGTATTCAATATGATCTTTAAAAAAATAAGGTATTTTAAAATTTATGTGATGGCTTGTTTTATGTTCACAGAAAATGTCTTTGGTAAAGTCAAGTTTTTTTTTTTTATTTGAACTAGATTCTAGTTGGAAAGTAGTATTAACATTAAAAGAGTATCTACTTGGAGAGTAGAGATATTATTCATCTTAAGAGATTGTCTAATTGGAGATTATAGAATTATTAATATTAAGAGAGTGTCTAGCTGGAGAGTAGAGAATAATTAATTTTTAAGAGATTGTCTAGTTGATATTTTTCTTCTTCTTTATTTTGAGGGCCCACGATCAATGAATTGATCATTATGGCTCCTATATATTTATATCAAGTAGGCCTACAAATGTTTCACCTAGATATTAAAAACCAAAATCTTCTGGCGTATTCAGTATATCTTCTGTGTAAAAATACTCAAGTGATTAAATCCTTTTTTTTTTAAACAGATTTTTAAAGTTTTTAATAAGTAAACTCAATACATCAATGTGACAAAATTGCTAGACTTAGAAGAAATATAGTATAGAATTGTTAAAAAAAATACTTTAAAATCTTGTGGAGATAGAACACACTATGTTACTGGTGTATAGTAAAAACCTACTTTATCATCTTGAGAGCCAATGTTGATGGTCCTGGTACCTGGTACACTGGTCCAGCCCGATGGTGGACTGCTTGCCTGTGGCTGTGGTGAAGGAGTTGTTCATGAAACGTCTGAAGATGGAGCTCTGGCCTACGCCATATTCTCCATGCAGGATGACTTTGTAGCTAGGGACGCCTGTGGCCATCTTGAAAGATCTGAAGCAGAAAAACAAGGAAACTATTAAGCATGATGTCACAAATTGTTATAATCATTGGGAGGAACAATCTCCGAAATATGAGAACTTTGATAAACAATTCCAAAAAAGTCAAATGATACAACAATAAAATATACAGAAAGTATAATGAAGCCACAATAAAATATAAAGAAATTCTAATGAGACAACAATACAAGAGAGAGTAAGTCTAATGAGACAACAATACAAGAGAGAGTAAGTCTAATGACACAACAAAAGAAAAATACTGCTTCTTGTCACTATATTGTTAATGTCTAAGGTTCCGGTATATGGTATGTGTGTGTGTGAGAGAGAGCTGGTGTGTGTGTGTGAGCTGGTATATGTGTGTGATATGGTATGTGTGTGTGAACTGGTATTTGTATGTGATATGGTATGTGTGCGATATGGTATGTGTATGTGATATGGTAAGGTATGTGTGAGTGATATGGTATGAGTGTGTGATATGGTATGTGTGTGTGATATGGTATGTGTGTGTGATATGGTATGTGTGTGTATGTAAGCTGGTATGTCTGTGTGAGCTGGTATGTGTGTTTGTGAGCTGATATGTTTGTGTGATATGGTATATGTGTGTGATATGGTTTGTGTGCATGTAAGCTGGTATGTGTGTTTGAGCTTGTATCTGTGGGTGAGCTGGTATGTGTGTTTGTGAGCTTGTATGTGCGTGTGAGCTGGTATGTGTGTTTGTGAGCTGGTATGTGTGGGTGAGCTGGTATGTGTGTGTGAGCTGGTATGTGTGTTTGTGAGCCGGTATGTGTGTGTGAGCTGGTGTGTGTGTGTGAGCTGGTATGTGTTTGGGGCGGGCAAACCTGAAATATCACAAAATTATACAAAGAACTGTTCGACAAAAATTCGTTGTTCAGTTTTGTGAACTTTCAGGTTGTCCCCTGCAGTGTATGTTTTATTTCATATTTCTTCAACCGGAACGCATTCCTCCCCATATTGCTCTCTCAGGTCAAAAGAAAATTGTATCTCTTTATTCTGGATCATATCAGGCTAGAAGATGCCAGTTTCAGATGTAAATATCTTTGGTTTCGTTCAAAAAATACTTGTGCAAACGATTGTGTCATTCCGATTTCTTTGTGGTGTTTTTATGGAGAATCATTGCTTCACAGCCAGCACATAACCCCCCATTGACAATTTCTTTCAACTCCCAGTAGAGCATGCAGGCCATTGACAATTTCTTTCAACTCCCAGTTGAGCATGAAGGCCATTGACAATTTCTTTCAACTCCCAGTAGAGCATGCAGGCCATTGACAATTTCTTTCAACTCCCAGTAGAGCATGCAGGCCATTGACAATTTCTTTCAACTCCCAGTAGAGCATGCAGGCCATTGACAATTTCAACTGCCAGTAGAGCATGCAGGCCATTGACACTTTCTTTCAACTCCCAGTAGAGCATGCAGGCCATTGACAATTTCAACTGCCAGTGAAGCATCGGTCACTGACAATATTTTCAAAGCCTTCTGGTTTATTTCTATTTATCTTCTCTAAACTCGGTCCAATCAGGTTATAAGTCTTGGCGCAGGAAGAAATCATGATGTCATCCATTTGGTTCTACTGTGTCATTATGTGAACATGGACGACGTCACTGTCAAAGAGAAAAGAAAAAGAAAACGATAGGCAGTGAGTGGAGAGGGAGCTGTTAATGATATCAAGCCTTGGACAATCCCAACTTTGGTTCTAAAAATGATAAAATCACATAAATTATACACACTATTTACTTATTGGTTCTAGACCTATCTAAAATCTAGGTAGATTAGCCGATTAATCGGTCAGGAAAACTGATTACGAACTAATCGATAATCTGCCGTTTAATGATGTAACCCATTTTTTTTTTATAATTAAAGAAGAGCCAAAGGTATTTCTTTTTTTAAATTCATTGATTGATCCACTTCTTATGCAACATTCAATTATGATACGGTCGTGTGCTGAGATTGTCCATGTCATATCAGCCCACAAAGTTGATCTCTGAAGATACCATCTGATCAGTTTGTCGTTTATGCTTGAAATTAACCTCAAGGTAGGAAAGCGACTTCACACACACTTCAACACTGCCCAGAAAGATAACCTTAGGGGTTTCATTAAAAATGTTAGCGGTTCTAAAATAAGACTAAAAGAGTACCTTAAGTACCTAACAGAACACACTGACACGAACCATAAAATTAAAATTAATCATACAATTCAAAGCGGGGTGACCAGCCGGACATTTCTCTCGACACAATAGGTGTGGTGTCTTTTCTTTTTTTTTTTTTCTTTTTTTTTTCGTTTCTCGAGTTTTGTCTGGGCCTTTGGGAAATTCTTGACGTCTTACATGCAGTGGCATAACTTGCTGTTAGGGCAGGTGGACGACACCCTCCAAGGCGGATCCTTGACATAAAGTCATTTATGTTAATCCATTTTCCTCTCATGTGGAGGCGGGGCCTGTGCACTGATGTTAACGGTCCATGTGAGTGAGTTTGCCCNATTATTTTTATTTTTTTTTTTGGGGGGGGGGTGTTTGTTTTTTTTTTTGTGGGGAGGAGGGGAGGGGGGGTCATTTGATTACTTTGACGTATACATAAAGTTATTTGTTTCTCATCAATTATTTAAGTTTCATTGGATTCCGTTTTACTGGGCTAGTTTCAATAGTTCTTATATAACTACGAGAAGAGAACGGTGAGGTTAAAACGAAAGACGAAAATAACCCCGAGCCTCCACAAACTCGCCAAGTTTTACTTTAACAACCTAGATACTCGCGACGCGAAATAACTTTTTTTTACATAATTTTTACAAGACTCTCAAACCAGCTGCTGCTCTTAATGATGTTATGGAAACATTGAGTCCTTCAATATAAATGTCGTAAATGTCGTAATATGTGTGTTCAGAAGACTTAAGAAAAGCTCCACCAAGTGGGCGTACATTCTGGCCAGTTCGTTCCAGATGAAGGGTTTTTTTTGTTTTTGTTTTTTTTGCTTCAGAATGCCTCTCATTTTTGTTAAGACCAATGAATACAAAAATTGGATAAAATTAATTAGAACAGAAGATAATGAAGATTATTTTAGTTTTAACTTATTTCTTTTCATTGCCTTTTTTTTTAAACTTTAAAAAAAAATTGATTCAATTTCAAATAGAGCTATGCAATTACGGTGCAAGACGATAACTCGTTCTGCGGACAAGGCTGATTTTTTTTAAACTTTCTGTTAAATTGTGTTAATATTATGTTTAATAATTAAGAAGCTTTTTTTAATTTATATGGAATGAGAAGTAACCACCCACAGAACAAACGTATTTTAAGTACAGACTGAGAACCGCCGCCATCGTTTTGGTTGCATTTACTATAATTAGGGTCAAGTGACGAAGGTGTGAATATCTTACACTTTTAATAAGTGCACGGTCCCTTAGAGACTATATACAGGACTTACAGTAAGATAGATTAACACCGAACAACAAAGTATTCCCAGCATGTGTCACATATTTGTGTGACAGATACAGGAAAACAGTGTGCCACACAATGTACGTGTACCAGGCATCTGAAACAATATCTCTATAGGTTCACTTATTCATAGTTCAACAGTGTAGTAGTTCAACATTGTCGTATCTCAACATTGTCCTGGCTCAACATTGTCGTAGCTCAACATTGCATTCCTCACAGTTCAATGATCCAACATGTATGGCAAACCATGAATATAATCTGGCACACCTCTGTCACGGACTTGACATGGACCTTTCACGAATGTAGCGCGTGTGTCAAAAAGTTTATGGGCATTACCATTCATCTACGACAGACCAACCACATGACCGGTACATGAATTGTAGTACAACGATATGTCTCCATGCAATGTATTTGTCAATCCTCTTTTTGTCAGGGGTAAAGTGAAGCATCTCTCTCTCTTTAAATTCACAGAGCAATGGGAAACCATGGAAACAATGTAGCATCAACTAAAAAAGTATGTCACCATGGTACTCCTATCAAAAGTCGACTACTCCACACTCTCTGGACGGGACGATCTAGGGCCCAAGTATTTCACAGCATGTCTAGTCCATCAGTATAACCTATTCAAGTAAACAGATGACTACCACGGGTGTGCAATTCAACGTGGCTCCGTGCAACACAATTTTAACGGAAGACTGTTTTGATGTTGGTGTGATCGCAAAGTGAGGTAAGTAATGTTGCGTGTTTATTACAGTGCATCGGCCAACACACAATCTGTTGCCTCAAATGTTTAGACTTGTTTCAGGGTATATTTAACACAATGATTCCCACCCCTCCAAAAAATAACCCCAGTGTTTCGCTTTCAGCTCTAGTTTTTGAGACATTGAAACTATTTCATTTTTAAACATAAAAACTCACCCAAAGATGTTTGATTTTTTAAAATATTAATTTATCTTTTCTAAGACTAGAGATGGCGGTATTTTTTTCAACCTGAGGATTGACTGATTGGCACCAAGTAACCGTTACATGTTTGTTGTTTTTTTCAAACTCATTACAAACATGTTTAAAATAAAATCTCTATGCAGCTGTATGAGCACATCAGGCTGGAAAGCTTTAGAGATAGTATATGAGGATCACTTTTGGATAGCTGAATATTTTTCTCATAAATATTTAATTGAAGAGAAACAAAGACGATTTTTCCCTTGACCTTATATATTTTATTGCATTGCATATCATGACGTGGAAGTAGACAAATGTCTTGATTCACCTACAAAATGCTGGTCATATATTTCTACATGTATGTCCAGTAGAGACCGACCGAAAATGATTTTCTGATTTCGGCCGAAGCCGAAAAGAGGCCGAAAGTTTAAAATGACTTTCGGCCGAAACCGAAAATAGGCCGACATTTTAAAAAGGACTTTCGGCCGAAACCGAAGCCGAAACCGAAAATGAAATATTTAGATATTTTGAAATCCGTTCCTGCATACAATCTGCATACATCGAAAATTATTTTTATAAAAAATGAGATAATCGTGAATATTAATAAATAAACTTCCAATATAACATCTTGTTGTTAAAGATCTTTTAGTTTGTTCTTAAAGATCGTTTAGTTTGTTGTTAAAGATCGTTCAGTTTTTTGCTAATGATCGCTTTATTTATTCTTAAAGATTGGTTAGTTTTTTTCAAAAAAGATCGCTAAGTTTTTTCTTAAAGATCGCTAAGTTTGTGTTATTAAAAGATCGTTTTTTTTTCATAAATATCGCTAAGTTTGTTCTTAAAGATCATTTAGTTTGTTTGTATAGATCTTTTAGTTTGTTATTAAAAATCATTTAGTTTTTTTCTTAAAGATCGCTTATTTTGTGTTAAAGATCGCTTAGTTTTTCATAAATATCGCTAAGTTTGTTCTTATAGATAATTGATTTTGTTCCTTAAGATCGATTAGTTTGTTCCTAAAATCTTTTAGTTTGTTCCTAAAGAACATTTAGTTTTCCGTTATAGATCACTTAGTTTATTTTTATAAACCATTTAGTTTACTATTAAAGATAATTTGTTTTGTTCTTAAAGATCAATTAGTTATTAATTAAAGATCACTTAGATTGTTCTTAAAGATCGTTTAGTGTGTTCTTAAATGTCGCTTAGTTTGTTATTAAATATTGTTTAGTTTGTTTTCAAACATCGCTTAAGCTGTTCTTAAAGATCACTTTATTTATTTTTAAAGATCCCTTTGTTTGTTTTTAAAGATCGTTTAGTTTGTTCTTAAATGTCGCTTAGTTTGTTGCTTTTGCTGAGAATTAGATGACCGAATACCTCAGTCACTTTCGGCCAGATGGCCAGTCAATTTCGGCCGAAACCGAAAAAAACCCGAAAGTTAACTTTTCTCTTTCGGCCGAAACCGAAATTAATCCGAAAGTTAACTTTCAGTTTCGGCTGAAACCGAAACTTGGCCGAAAGTGATAAAATGGACACTTTTGGCACCGAAGCCGAAGCCGAAATTCGGTCGGTCTCTAATGTCCAGTTTAAATGATTTATTTGTTATGATACCACGATACAACCCAATTGGCCTTTTATAGAGAACTATTCTTTCAAAAAATAAATTCAATTATATCTTTAAAAGCTAGATCGATTCTCGAAATCATCGCCCTAAATAAGACTACGACTCAAGACAACACTAGGACTCGAGACAACACTAGGGCTCAAGACAACAAGAAATTGTATTATTGTATATGTGTAATTACCTGGTATTGTAATTAACTTTTTGCAGCCAAAAAAAAAATATTTGTGTAGCTAATTGAGCCCAACGGTTGTAGTGAAGCCGTAACAGGTAAGTGGCGGTATTTACTTTATGGCTTGATATGTGTCTGCAGAAAGTTGATTTGGGGGGGGGGGATGTCAGCCCCGGTTTTAAGATTTTTTTTTGGTACGGCTTTTTCGGTCATCCTCTAAAAGGATTTTGTATTTTGTTCAGATTTTAGAAGGATACAAGCCATCACAAACAAAATATATTTTCTCACTTTTCTTAATATTTGATGAAAATAAGGTTATGGTGTAGTGCGTAGGGTGTAGTTGTGTGTAGGGCGTAGTGGTGTGTAGGGTGTAGTGGTGTGTAGTGTGTTCGGTGACCAACCAATTTTCTGTGAATCAAGTTTGGGGAAAATACTAAAAAATGCTATAATCAAGTAATACAAGCCAAATACTTTTCCCTTGACAACACTGCTAATATTTCTTATAAGGAATAAACTAACAGTAAGAAATTTAAATTATTTGTGTTAACGTTTTGAAACTGTTGAGAATGTATTCACTGTGTTCTATACTCGGTCATTGTATAAGATATTTTACACATTATAGGTGGCTACGTCTGGGCGTGTGGTGGAACTCAAGGGGAGAAACTGTGTGTGTTGTTACAAATAAAGGATGAATACAAAAATTATGGTTTCCAGGTCAGTTTAAACATTAAAAATCTTGAAGAGGGGCCAATCGCCAACACACCCCCATCAAAACAAAGGCATTTTTTTTCCATTTTTTAAAATTAATAAACATGAATCCTCCAGAGATCTAAGAATGTTTTTTTTTTTTTAATGTGTTTTTATTCAAGCAAAACTCAATCAGCCAATGTATCATGTGCACCGTGTGCTAGCGTTCATATTTGTTGCTACCCGCACCCACTGAGATCAAACCATTGCACGTCATTGCCAAAATGTTGAACTACGACCATCCTGAGAAGTCATTAATTATTAAATGGTGCTTTTGGGAGTGGATAAGATTATTATGTTTGAAAATTGAACACATGTTTTCTACATTTGTTTGTTTAGTATTTAGTAATCTAAAGGAAGAGACTTATAAATCACGATTAACATCCAATCCCACATCGTTTGGGGTACAGGCAATAATTTTATGATTTTTTTTCAGTTTTCCAATAGATGTTCGTCATGGCTTTTTCGGATATTTGAATAGATTTAGACTACTACAATGATTAACTAAATGCTATAAAACTCAGATTATTGGTTGTTCAGTTTGACTCTAGGTGCTGAATGTTGACCTCCACTTGCTGTCATTAGTCTGACTGTGCTTGAAGAGAATGGTGGCTGCTAAGGAGCTCACGATTGAGTCAGAGAAGGTGGAACTCAAGAGAGAGTTGGGGTTGGTCGGAGCCTCTTCTGTGGTCATTGGAACAATTATAGGTAGCCTTTGGGAAGACACCAACGTTAGACATTTCTGAGACTAGTATTTAAAATTGTAAATTTAAGAATATAAACAATGGAGCTGTAACATTGGTGAGAATGTGAATCTCTCATAGGAGATTCTGGTCATTTAAAAAGCCTATAATATAGGGAATGTTAGATGTCAATATTTCTTAAACAGCGAATTAAATATGTAACATTCATTCCAAAAAAAAATAATAATATTGATAGTTTATTTGTTTAGTTCTTTTTTTTCTTTTTTTTGCTTGTTTGTTGTTGTTTCGGTTTTTGTCGCATTATATTGATAATCCATGTTAAAATTTACCTTGTCACGAATATGACTGTCACCTTCTCAACAGGCTCCGGTATATTTATCTCCCCTAAGGGCGTGCTAGAGAACACGGGATCTGTGGCACTCAGTCTTATTGTTTGGTTTATATCAGGAGTTATCGCACTTGGAGGTAAGATTCAATGTGGATTTATATCGAAAAATGTAAATAAAGAATTGTTTATTAGTAATAAGTAATAAGAAACAAAAGAAAACAACAACAAAAAAAAAACCACCTGTTTAAATAATTAAATCCAGGGCTCGAGGTCTGCACGAACGCATGGGAACGGCGTTCCTGTATCTTTTTCCACACCATTGAATTTGCTACGAAATTAATATTAAAAAATAATTATTTTTCGGGGGGGGGGGGGGTGTTTTCTGCGAGTGCCCACAATTTATTTCTTAGGACGACCCCTTTGATTAAATCAATAAAAGTTCCTGTATCTTTTTCCACACCATTGAATTTGCTACGAAATTAATATTAAAAAATAATTATTTTTCGGGGGGGGGGGGTTGTCTTCTGCGAGTGCCCACAATTTATTTCTTAGGACGACCCCTTTGATTAAATCAATAAATAACTCTTTTCATCGGACTTTTAACATGTAACATGAGGTCCTAACATTAACAAGGACTTATATGTATCTAGAAATTTGACTCATATACAGACAATCGTATTATTTATGCCCCCCTCCCCCGGGCCTCACACCTTATTGTTATTTTCACATTTGGTCTATGTTTCACTAATTATTTTCTCAGGTGCCATGTGTTATGCTGAACTAGCGACAACCATTCGTAAATCAGGGGGCGCTTACACCTATATCCAGATGGGTTTGGGCAATTTCATGGCATTCGTGTACGCCATTCAGGTATTCTCTCATTAGTGTACGCCATTCAGGTATCCTCTCATTCGTGTACGTCATTCAGGTATTCTCTCATTCTTGTACAATAATGCTATTGTCTTATTATTGTAATTTTATTTGTCGTGCATTTGTCATCTCTAATTTTATTTCCTTCAGGTATTGTTTTATTCTTTTATAAGTTCTTAACCCACTGTCTCTTGTGTATTGATTTACGAACAGAGATTTGGACATACTTGGAACGTGTCATAGACAAAGTGATGTTTTATTAGTTATCAATTAACAGTTCAATCACGGTATTGTATAGATAAAGAAGCCAATACTAATTTAACTCACCTACATTTTTTATACCAGAGCTTAAGGAAACAGATAATGTCATACATCAGAGAGTGTCAACTGTTTGTGTTCGCCAGATGCTAACAAATTTGTTGCACTGTTATTTCAGACGATTTTTATCGTCATTCCCGGTGTGGTCATCATCACCTTGTTGACCTTCGCCAAGTACCTCGTCTCCATGCTACCTTTGTGTGGCTCACCTGCTTACCTGGAGAAGTTCATTGTTGCCTTGGTTACAGGTCAGTTTTAAATAGTCCACACAAAAAAATCTAAACATGACAAGCTTTCGCCTTTAAAATTGGTTAAAAATTTTGTGTACGTTGCTTAAAAGAGAGGGTTACACAAAGAGAGGGAGAATCGGGGACAGTAGCGATGGGATTGGAACCCTCTTTGAGAAGTTCTGTTCGGAATCGGTCGTCAGAATGGTTCGGTTTGGATTCCGTTTGATTGACATCTATAGTAGACATATATTTATATATTTAGAGTATCTTCGGTTAGTGGGGGNGGGGGGGGGCGAAGTGAGAGAGAGGGGGATTCATAAAAATTCATTGATTCCTTGAAATAAGTTTCTCATTATTTGAAATGATAACTTGATGTATTTTACTTATTTTAAGCTGATTTTCTTCACCCCCAACCCCACCCCCCCCCCCCAAAAAAAAATCTACCCAGTGAGTATCATTATAGTCAACTGCTACAGCACGCGGCTGACGGCCAGGTTCACCATCCTGACGACTTTTGGCAAGTTATCTGCTCTTGTAGCCATCATTATCGGAGGAATTATCGCCCTTTCCCAAGGGACGACCAGTGAGCTGGGCACAGGGTTTGAGGGGACCTCCAACGATCCTTCGTCCTTGGCCTTGGCTCTCTACAGCGCGTGGTGGGCCACCAGTGGGGGGTGAGTTTGGTTGCTTCTTTGTTTTCTTAAACTTTGAAACATGAAAAATTGATGGGAAGTTTTTAAGCCGTTGATATTTTTAAACCAATGAAAAAAACAATACCTTAAATTGTATTTATGAATAGCCATCAGCAACTTTATTTAGCAGAAGTCGTTTCCAAATTGACCCCGGGTTTTAAACATGTTTTTCTTTCTTTCTTTCTGTATTGTTTTATATTATTTGTTTTTTTCACAAATAACACTTTAATTAATAATGTTTTCCAAATCACACAGTGAGAATCTAGCGATATTAGTCGAAGAAGTCAAAAACCCCAAAAAGTAAGTACGGAAACTGATTTTGGTCATTAAAACAAAAATTAACCTGTGAAAAAAATAATAATAATAAAATATAAAAAAATAGCATTTTAAAGTGATTGTATGATTGTGTATCAGCTTATATAACACAAGTAATTGATTCTTTTTTCCATCATAAGGTGTCCTCCATTATCAAAAAAAAAAAAGATAAATGCGCCACGGTACAAAAGCTTCATTGTGAATGTTGACAGCATTTTAACATTCTCAAAATTACTGTATGTTCTTAAATAACAGTATATGTGCATTTAGAAGGAGCAAAAAAAAAAACGTAAGTTCCAATGTTTTTCTTTCCTTTCAGGACCATTCCCAGGTCTTTCATTCTTGGACTGGTCATCGTCATTATAGTCTACCTCCTGGCCAACATCTCCTACCTGGCCGTCTTGAGCAGGGCGGAGATGCTTAGTTCTGAAGCTGTCGCTGTTGTGAGTGATAGCTCACGATAGAAAAGCTGCTACGGTTTTGTCAGGAGATGCTTTAAATTAACGATTAGTCCAAGGGTACACCTCGTCAGTAAACTGTAACCTTTCTTTCTATACTGATATCACTGTTACTGTTGTTATAAGTTGTTATGACCAGAGCGGACACCTCGATGAATATCAATTAGGGGGTTAACCAATATTCCCTGTAAGGTTTGCTGGTTCGTATGCAAAATCATACAATTGTGAGGAAAGTTTTACAGCATCGATTTTTTTTGTGCAAAATTTTACAGCCCACAAATACAAACACACACTTGCATGGAAATTTGCTGCGCATATACTCAAAACTAATGCGCGACGTCTGTGAGATAGATGCGTGGCTGCGCAGCCGCGCAGCTTAAAGGGAACATTGGGGTTAACTACTAACTATTTCTTACAACAGTTATAATACGAAATCCAAGAATTCACATATCACTCATTTATTTAAATATTGATTGATTGGATATATATATATATGTATATATAGTGCTGGTATCCATGCTACTTTAGCATGCTCACTGCATGTATCACTACACAGTTTTAGGTTCACATCTGATGAATAATAGAATGATGATTAAATACAGCTCAATCGTAATACATTCATTTCTTTTACAAAATCAAATGAGACCAAATCTTGACAACTGCTTCTTCTTTCAATAAAATAGGGCTGCTCTTGTAATTCCTCCAAATCTCTTTTTATATCTATGTATCGCTACTCTGACACGAAATAGTTCTTTTCACTCAACTGTACCTTTACCTAGCCTTTTAAACACTATACTTGACAGCTCAGTTGCTGAATTAAGCTCAATATTTAAATGTATTTTATATTTAATCACGCAGACATTTGCGGATAAAGCTCTGGGTAAACTCGCCATCATCATCCCAGTGGCCGTCATGGTGTCCACGGTTGGGGCTGTCAATAACACGGTGTTCAGTGGAAGTAGGTCAGTAAACGTATGCGGTGTTCAGTGGAAGTAGGCCATTAAGAGTATGTCTCAACAGACAAGTGTGTCTACGTCTGAACACCAAGCGGCGGTGACACGAGCTTGTTTCAGACCGTTTGAGTCTTCTGGTTGTGGGGCTGAAAACGGAAGTGAAATATTTTCCAAGAAAATCTTACAAGAGGGTTAACCTTCCAGTAATAAACCAGAGCACAAGTCTTTTCATGCCTGTAAATAGTTAGGAATTTTTTTTTAAAAATCAATTGTTGATAAATTCTTTCAGAAATATTGAACATCAACAAAAAAAATAATTAAAAATACTTTAATTCTTTACCAGGGTCACGTATTCGGCGGCAAGGGACGGGATCTTGCCAGATTTCCTCAACTACATCCAAATACGCCAATACACACCATTGGGGGCTATGATATTAACGGTAAACATTTAAAATCGACAATGTTGCGATGATACTTTATCATTGAACCAAAAAAAATTTAACGTGGATTAAAATGTTAAAATTTTACATCCAAATCAAACGAAAAATAAAAAATACTTTGTTTAAAAAGGGGAATGTTAATTTGATCCACGTACAGTGAATATATATTAGACCTATGTGACCGAGGCAAAAACGATGTGTGTAAATAAAATAGTTTAAGTTAAGTTTTAGTTATGGCTACATATAATACGCATTCAAAAGTTTTGGGGCCTTCAGTAGTGCAGCAACAACAACAAAAACCATTCATTAAGTAAACATTAATATATAAAAAGGGAAAGAATAAATGGGCACAAGTCCCTAACAAAAACAAAGCTCAGATGAGCGACAACAAAATGAAATCTGAGTCAGTTAGCACAGAAAGAGCGACATGTACTACCAAAATTATTATCTTTAAAGGGGAAAGAAGTCAATTAACTCCTTATTCCCACGTAAAACATTAGTGTGTCCCTTCTGTTAAAATTTCTCAAATTTTTGGAATTAATTCCATTCTTAAATTTCTAACAATGTCCGTTGGTAAAAACCAATGTTTCTTTCCTGGCAGGTTGTCATGTCCGTGATTCTGTTGGCCCCAGCAGACGTGGAAACCGTCATCAATTACCTCGGTTTTCTCGAAGCCTTCTTCAGCGTCTGTGTTTATATTGCATTCTTCCGCTTTCGATTTCAGACGATGAAGGACGTTGAACGGACGATAAAGGTGACATGCAATCATATTAGCTCAGCTAAGATGGTAGGGGGTTGTGTGTCATATTTCACACGTCATTACAATATATTGCCGTTATAATTGTTTTATTTTTTTTTTGCTATAAGCTTGAAGTGCTACGCTGTTTTTGAACAAGTTTTACCCTTCCCTACCCCGGGTTTTACCCTTCCCTACCCCGGGTTTTACCCTTCCCTACCCCGGGTTTTACCCTTCCCTACCCCGGGTTTTACCCTTCCCTACCCCTGTCATAATCTGTCTTTGATATCAGGACACCCCGCACTTTTTTTTTTAATTACGTCATGCTTTCGAAATAAACAATTGATAAAAAATGAACAACTAATTAAACCTTAATATAAAACACATTTACCAGTACTGTCAAACTATTAAATTTATGAAAGTGAAACCTTCTGTCAGAATAGATCTATCACAACAGAAAGTTAAATATCATTGTCATTTTGAAGCTTTATATTATGTATGTTAAAAAAATGTATTATATAAACTGTGTGACGTCACACAGAATCTTTACCCCTCCCCACTCCCCCCTTGTCCAAAGCCGTCAAACTTTCTTAGACCCCCTTCCTCTCCTGAGCAAGACATCCCTTTATGTAAGGCCCCTTAATAACAATTAATATATATCTCGTTAAGACGTTTCATTTTTTTATAGGAAATTTAATTAATAATGATCAGTGCTTTTTTTTTTTCATTTCATACAGATGTATTTTATATAGTTTAAACATTTATGAAAATAATTTTCGAAAACGTAGATATAACTGTGACATTACGTGCATCTCGTGTGTAAAGAATTTTAAGTTAATTCAGTTAGGGAATTTAGAAGGGGACAAAATAGCATGTTCTGAAAATGCCACGTTATTCAAAAGGTTGTCTCCCTTGATAAACATTTTTTAACTACCGGTACTGTTGCGTGTGTTCATTAATCCACTGAAAATATGATAATATCTCTTAACATTTTTATGCTGTTAAGCTATTCCCTACCTACCTTAAGCTTCTTTATTCTTTTTTTTTTTAATTATTTTAGGAGAAGGAAATATTAGAGTAGGGGCCCTTTATAGTAGGTTTTTCCTAGTCACCTTTTCCTGCCTCCACAATATCAGTTTACCAACAAAAATATCAGTTTACCAACAAAAATATCAGTTTACTAACGAAAATATCAGTTTACTCCAACAATAGTTTAAATCAACAATATCAGTTTACTCCCACCACAATACCAGTTTACTCCCACCACAATACCAGTTTACCCCCACCACAATACCAGTTTACTCCCACCACAATACCTGTTTACTCCCACCACAATACCTGTTTACTCCCACCACAATACCAGTTTACTTCAACAGTACCAGTTTAATTCAACAATATCTGTTTGCTCCCAAAATATTAGTTTACTAACTAAAATACCAGTCTACCAACAAAAATACCAGTTTACTCCCAAAATACCCGTTTACTCCCAAAATACCTGTTTCACCAGTTTCACCAATGTTGTCCTTTCCTCTCAGGCTCCACTGATCATCCCTATCTTCATGTTACTTGTCAATCTCTACCTGTTTGTTGCCCCGCTGGTGATCAGCCCAGAGTTGGAGTACGCCTATGTGGTGGCCGCTGTGCTCGGCTCATCTGTTCTACTTTATATACCATTCATTCACTTCAATCTTTCACTGCCTTACACTGGTGAGTAGGCATCATTTTATATATTTATTTAAGATTGAGATGGGGCACCTGCCCTTACCCATCTCTTACCAACCCTGTCATTCTATTTTTAACATCTCCTAAGGCAAATGGAGACTCAGACTGACATTAGAATATCATTATACAGGCCTTCCTTTACAAACATAATCTCTTATAAATATTTTGCTTGTGGCGTGACTGCTTCCGTTTCTGGATAGCGCGCAAAATATAATTCCCGATACTAAATGGTTTTTGTTTTAATAACGTAACTGCGTTTGGTGCGTACTATTTTCTTTTCGGAAAATATATATGTCTCAATTTAAGTATGTTGTAAAACATATTCGGTTTAAAAATGGTTGGGACATCAGAATATAAATTTAATATAGTTTATGGGCGTGAAATAAAAAGTGTGCAGTGACGTATCATGGGGGGAAGGGTGTAGCGAAAATTGGGATTCTTAAATTTGCGTTACTGGAGTTCATGTTTTTTCAAGTAACTTCAATGGATGGGAAGGTCACGCATTGCTATCATCAATGTTGCGAGCTATAACTAGTAATAAATATTTTAACAAGTAACACCTTAGTCCAAATAAAATCTTTTAAAAAAAGTGTTTTTTTTTCATTTTAAAATATTCTAATATTTAACACTTTATTTAACATTATATTTCTTTTCAATCTTTTCCTACTGTTTATTATAGTCAAAATTCATTTTTTATTCAAATAGGTAATGAAAAACTTTATGAATAAAGTCAAACTAAAACATAAAATGAAAGAACCAGTAATGGAGAGTGCACTGTCTCCATGTTTGATTTAACTTTAAAAATATCACTCTAATTAATAAAGTGAATTTGGTTAAATAATCAGTGTGGATGGTATAAATTTGTAAATAGTTATATTGCAGAATTGGTTTAATTGGTACTTTTGATTTAACAGTTACAGTTTATACTCCTGACAATTGTAAGATCCTTAAATATAGATCCAAAGGCTGTTTTCATTTATGCCATTTATAATAATATTATTTGTATTTTTAAAACTGCCTTAATCAACTATAACATGCTATACATAACTTTTATTTCTTAAAGTTTTTTTTCTTATTCATGATGTTTTTGCTTGAATTATTCCAGATCACCTGGTCGCATGGTTTCAGCTGCTATTTCAAGTGTGTCCACCAACAACATTGGAAGCAGAATAAAAAATGTGTCATAAGTTTACCCAAAGACAAAATAACTAATTAAAAAGGCTGCATCTATAGGTATCCGGGTACCTATAACCGCCAATGACTATTCACACACAGAGATTAAATGGCTTCAGAGCCGGGTGTAATAACAATAATAGTATGAGAATTATTTTTTTTTATTGTTTTTTCTCCTTGTTAATTCGTATATTCATAGTTTTATTCTTTTTAGTTGTTTTTTTTTATTTTTGCTTTGTTAATTTCTCTTAGGACGGGTAGATTTTTTTTCTTTTTTATTTTCTTTTTTAGTTTAAGCCCTTTTGTAGATTTTTCTTTTTTTTTTAAAATCTAGTAATGAAGATGATTTAGATACATTTTTTGTTTTCATTTGAATTTTAGAAAAGTAATAATATTAATTTAATTATTAAAATTAAATCCTTTATTTAAGATTATTTATGTGTATTGTTTAAGTTAAAAGATTTAATCACACAGTACTTTATGAATTAATTAGGTATTCTAAATAATGAAAATTTCATT